CAATTATTGATTTTAATAAATGCAACTTTTGATTCGGTTTTCTATTATTAAAGTTTGAGTCATTCCAGAGATTAGACGCTCAGTTAAAGGTCCTGGAACTTTACATAAAGCTGCAGAAAAATAAACACTTAATTACTATAATGTATCATTCCTGTTAATTTGACAGCATGAATTACAGAATGAATTGAAGCATAATAAACTCTCGTCCTCCTTCAGCATCTACGCCATCGGTGACGTGGTCGCCGGCCCGATGTTGGCCCACAAGGCCGAGGACGAGGGCATCATCTGTGTGGAGGGAATCGCCGGCGGCGCCGTGCACATCGACTACAACTGTGTTCCCTCCGTCATCTACACGCACCCAGAGGTGGCCTGGGTGGGCAAGACGGAGGAGCAGATCAAAGAGGAGGTGAGGAGGAGGAGGAGGATATATCTATATATATATATATATATATATCTCTGTCTCTGTCTCTGTCTGTGTGTCTGTCTACAGATCAAATACAACCGATGTGTAAATCTAGCAATGACTGACTCATATTGGCCACTTGGGGGCAGCAGAAACAAGTTGTGAACGTTACGTTAGTAATTGCTTCCCGAGCCTCTCGTCCATGAGTAGATGCACGCTTCCTTCATGAAGCTGCTCACAGCACGATCTGTGGATTATCTTCAGTAACCGGGACTTGATCTCTGGAAAAGATGCGTTGATTTAGAGTTTCATGTTTTTTTGTGGTGGTTTGAGCACAAGCCGAGCTCCATCTACGGCCGACACATCCAACACTAGGCAACTCATCAAAGCTATGCTAGACGTCTCTAGACTGATGCATGGCTCTACAGGTGAGAGGGGAAACGCATGTAGTATTGATTTTTGGGTGTACTGTCCCTTTAAGAGGATGTCGTCGGACGTCTCGTTTTGTCCGACCAACCGTCCAAAACCCCAAAAGATGAATTTCATAACGATTATATCACAGAGAAAAGAAGCTAATTCTGAAATGTGATACTTTACATGATGAATTGATTGTCAACATTGTTTAAATGATAGTTCTAAAGACAGTAGACTCCTTAACAAGTGAAGTGAAGTTCTCCACACGCTGTATGTTGTGTCTGTCAGTTGTTTTAAATGTCGGTGTTTCTTCTGATCAGCAGAATATTGACATACTGCAGGTGTGTGGACAGAGAAGTTGATCTGACGTCCTCTAACAATCACACAGATATTCCTCCAGCAGTGTTTTTACATTCCTCCTCTTCCTCCTTCAGGGTGTCCCGTACAAAGTCGGCAAGTTCCCTTTCGCCGCCAACAGCCGAGCCAAGACCAACGCCGACACTGACGGCATGGTGAAGATCATCGCCCACAAGGAGACGGACAGGATGCTGGGAGCTCACATCGTGGGAACTGTAAGACTTAACTGTTAGTCACCGAACTAGACGACCGGCTTCAGTCCTGCTGTAGATCTCCAGTTGGCTGACTTGCCCAGCTGTTTGTAGTTGATCAAGCTAAACGTTCTCGGGGCTACTATGTTCCACATTTTGATGCCGAAACGCCCAAATAAGCAAACGCACAAGTGGAACTCCTAACGCTACGTGTAGCATTACAGCACGGTGGAATCAGCAGGCTAGCTAGCTAACCCTTCAGCTGTATGCTAGTTAGCATTAACGTGTGTGTGTGTGTGTGTGTGTGTGTGTGTGTGTGTGTGTGTGTGGTTTCTCTGCAGGGGGCCGGAGACATGATCAACGAAGCTGCTTTGGCCATGGAGTACGGAGCTTCCTGTGAGGACATCGCCAGAGTCTGCCACGCCCACCCTGTATGTCCTGCAACACACACAGTCCTAGTTGAGAGCTTTGCATCATTGTTCTATGAATATGGAAGATTAATTCTGCCACAGTGATGAAAGTAAATGTCCTCTCAGTCATTATGACTCTAATAATGTTATCTTTCTCACTATTTTGAGTTTCTCGTTATAACACGGGATCTTTTTTCAACACAATAAAAAAAGACAAGAAATATAACCAGTAATACTCAACCAGACTGAAGCTAAAACTCAACTCTCCTCTTCCTCTTCCTCCTCTCTCCTCCTCTTCTTCCTCCTCTTCTTCCTCCCCCCCAGACGGTGTCGGAGGCCTTCAGAGAAGCGAACCTCGCCGCCTCCTTCGGCAAAGCGATCAACTTCTGATCTCCTGCCATCTCACCTTCAGTGTACATAACAAGAGGAGGAAGCAGGAACCGGGAAGCTTCATCCAGACCCAGCGGATCCTCTGTGTTCATCCAAACTGTCCCACATTTATATCTGATCTTATTTAAATGTTCTCAATAAAACCACCACGGAGAGTCCAACACATAGTTTAAAGAGCGTATTATTCATTTACAGGACTTAGAGGTATAAATATACATATAAATATTATCTTTGGCTGGGCGGCTTTCTCCTGTAAAGGAAGGTTTTTGTGTTTTTACAGATTTTAACACCACAAATATGACGTGTGATCACAGCAGGAAACTCTTTACAGTTTAAAGGTGAAATCAAATGTTGAGCTTCAGTCAGCAGCTGTTTCAACGCTGGATTATATATATATATATATATGTATGTATATATATGTGTGTATATATATGCGTATGTATATATGTATATGTATATGTGTGTGTGTGTGTGTGTGTATGTATGTATATATATATGAAAACAAGAAACGCAGAAGAAGCTTTTTAAACAGAAGGGACATATTAAGTATTTTAAACCTCTTTTAAATACTTTGTTTCCCCAAAATCAATACATTTAATGAACTTAAATGTAACAGGTTAAGTCCCAGTGAGGCGGGAAGCTAAGATATACAAGTTGCAGACGAAACAAAATCATTTTATTTTTTGGGTCATAACTGAGCAATTCTCCGAGATGTGGTTGAAAGCTCCGGGAAGAAGCCAGTAAGTGCACCTTGAGTTTGAAGATTATTTCTGATCTGATTTAAAGTTGAGTTTTGAATTGAAGGAACAAAATGAGGATTAAGATTTTAATAGTTCAGCTGATTTATTTATGAAACGCAGTATTTGGCTTTGAACTCTTTAAAGGTTCCATGTGGAGTTGTTAACCCTTTATTGGCGCCATGGAGCCCGTCTTCTGTCTGGAGCCGTGAGACGCCACGATTAAAGTCCATGAAGAAGAAGACGAGCTGGTGAACAGTTCAGAACTTAAGATCTGCTCCTTTAAAGGCTCCACATGGCTCCTCTAAGAACAACGTCATGGAGCTCAGCGTTGATTCACCTTAGAGGAGGCGGGACTTCAGGGGAAGAGTTTCCTGCTCTGATTGCTGCGCTGTGATTGGCTCCGGCCTGCTCTCGTTTATCTCATCAACTAATCAAATAAAATGCAGTTCAACAAGACCAGAGTGGAACTTTGATTTACTGATGTCGTTGACTGATTTACTTCTGTGAGTTCTCTTCAGTGAAAGTAATTAAACTAATAGTCCCTAATGCAGACCCACTCAATGTGTTATTGTATAAATATATATGTGTATGTATATACATGCTTGTGTATGTGTATATAAGTGTGTATAATATATATATATACATATGTGTGTGTATATATATGCAGTGAAGATACAAACATAAGTGGATTAAATGGTAAGAAACTAATTGAATGAATGAATCCAGCAGTTTGTTTAACTAAAGAAGGAACTTTATTCTCTTTACTGACATCAAGACTTCATGACGCGTATTTGAATAACTGGTATTTTACCAACGACTCCACCTCTGTTTGAACTAGTGTGTGTGTGTGTGTGTGTCTGTATGTATGGGTTTCTGTGTGTGTGTGTGTGTATGTGTGAGTGTGTGTGTGTTTCTCTGTGTGTGTGCGTGTGTTTCTGTGTGTGTGTGTGGGTTTCTGTGTGTGTTTCTCTGTGTGTGCGTGTGTTTCTGTGTGTGAGTGTGTGTGTGTTTCTCTGTGTGTGTGCGTGTGTGTGTGTGGGTTTCTGTGTGTGTTTCTCTGTGTGTTTCTCTGTGTGTGTGTGTGTGTGTGTGTGTGTGTGTGTGTGTGTGTGT